AAGCGAGTATAGTTGGGATCTAGGGGAGTGGAATGAGGCAGGCTAGAACCAGACCACGCAGGGCCTGTGGGCTATGTTAAGGATTCGGGCTATCCTCCCGAGAGCAGCAGTGGGATACCACTGAGAGGTTTTAAACAGGGAGGTAACAGGATCTGATTTTGTCAAGATCATAGGGGCTACAATGTGGAAGACAGATTGGAGGGAGCCAGAGGAGGTGTGAGACCGGCTAGAAGGTCATTGCAGTGGTCCTGGTAACAGATGATGAAAGCCAGGACCAGGATGGTGGTGGTGAAGATGGAGAGAACTAGACAAAATTGAGAGACAAACTGAGGGACTTGGTGATAATTTGGATTTGGGGGTAAGAAAGGGGAGGTGTGCTGAAGGTTATGCTCATGGTTTTATTGTAGCTCCCACTCTCTACCACCACCTACACACCTCATTTTTTTTAAGACACAAAGAGCCAGGAAAAGCATCTCGGATGAGGTACCGTGGGGTACTAGAAGCTGTAGAGCATGGCAGTAATGGTTATGCTAAAATCCAAGTTTATCTACCTGGCCCAACAGCCCCCTCCTTTTAGACAAAAAATAGTTTGATTGAATCTCCTAGCATGTTGTTCCTTAACTAGTAAAACTGAACTCAGTCTCTGGATTTAACCTGCGCCCCTAGTCACAGAGTTCATACCCTAGGCATGAAAATCAATGGTCTGCCAGGCACCCTCCTCCCGCTGCTGCCCTAAGACTCTCCCAGTTGACAGAGCGTCAACCCACCTGTCCAGTGTTCTCATGTTCTCCACAGAACTTTGAGAAAATAGGTTTGTGTGACCTTGGCCCTTTCCTTTCTCTAAAAGGAGACAAAGAAACAAGACTTCAAAAGTTGAAATGAAAGTTAAGAGGATGACACATTTCTAACTTGGCGGGTCAACCTGGGTATTTGGTGCGAGCTCTGTGAATATTCATTGTATGACAACCGTTTGGACTGCCCTGTGTGTAAGCCTGGGCTGAGCTGTACTTGAGGCTGAGGAAAGACGATAAGCCAAAGCTGCAAGACAGTGGATGTCGGGCGTAGCGCCACCGGTCTTGCAACAACTCATCGCAAGTCAAATTAAGGGAATAATGTGAGCCTAGTAGATATTTAATGAAAGATTATTTCTGGAGATTATAAGGATACAGAAATTGCAAATAAATCCCTGACCTTTTCTGAGCTTTGGCTCAGTGAAAGAGCTGAATCACCTGCTGGAGGGGATTAAGGGCAGCCGCTTCCATCTGGCGGGCCGCTCAGACTTTTTCTGTCATTAGCAACTGCTCGGCGGCGATGGCGTTGTAAACCTTTTAGTGGGAACTCGATTTTCAGAGTAGGAGATCTCAATTAACTTAGATTATGTACCTGCTGGGCAGAGATCAGGACTAATGATCTGCTTATGTATGCACTGTTGTCCTTTATCACATTAGTGGTACTTGGTACATGTTAAATCATAAAGCCGTTGTTAATCATTAGTAACCTAATCATGACGTCAGCAGGAAACTCAGATTGATGAGAGTAGAAGTTAAACGTGTGAGGAACAAACACAGAGATGGAGAGAGACAGAGATGGAGAGATACAGGGAGATACCGGGGCAGAGGGCAATGATATAACTTATCATAAACAGTTCCAGTTTAGAGATTCAGAGCAATGATAGCTAAATTGTACTTCATGAGTTTCTTGTTGGGCACTGTGATTTAATTTGAACTCCATTCCTTAACACAGTTTTATCTGTTTGTAAAACTGTAATATCATCACGATGCCGTTTGGACACATTAGAAGCTAACAGGGAGTTACCTTGAGCTCTTAATGTTTGACTTTGCAGTATGTAAGCATTATCTGCCTTTGAACTTAGACAACTAATATATACTAATAAATACTGTGTTACATGTGTGATGTGTAAGGCCTTTATGTGTAATGTGTGTGTAAGATTCATTTCAAGAAAAGGGGTTTGCGGGTTTAAAACAAATTGGAGAACTTCTAATGCTGGGAAAGTCAAAGGAGGAACATTTACTCACATTTTTTTGCTTTGCCATTTTCCAAAAGAAGTAATTGTAGATGATGTAGGTTAGTGGAATCTAATTTTTCCTGGATGTACTTGGAAGGTTCTATTGTATTCTTTTCCATTACCTAGAAAAGGATCTGGCTTCCCTCAGCTCCCCAAGAAAAGTTTCAAGGACTGATTTACTTCTGCAGGCTTATGTCTAGCTCTGTCCTCATTTCTTCTGATCATTGTGCTGATGGCTTTATGAACATATATCTTCTTGCCCCTGGGTCATCACTGTCGGCTGCCAGGTTATTTCCAATTTTCCAAAACTCCAGCCAGTGTTCGTGGGCTAAGGAAGCAAAATGGTCTTTGTCCAGGACAGAAGATCATCAGTGCCATGTTCACAAACCTACTCTTAAAACACCCAAGTTTGGAATCAGCCCCAGCTGTTTCCCAGAGCACTGTACAAAATGGCAGCTCTTTCTCCCCCATGCAAGGATCCACATAAGCACCCTCTAAAGAATTAAAAGGCTGCAACTGACTGTTGAATCAGTTATGAACATTTTGGAAATCTCCGTAAGTATAAAAAGTAATTTCCCCTCTGACAAATGCATTTCAATAGGCTCTATTCTAACTACTGCATAAAGCAATGAAAACACTCCCCTGCACACGAAAAGATGCCCAAGATCCTTAGTCATCAGGGAAATGCAAATCAAAACGACAATGAGACACCACTTCACACTCACTAGAATGGCTATAATAAGAGAGATAATAACAAGTGTTGGCAAGGATGTCGAGAAATTGGAACCCTCATTCATCCCTGGAGGGAATGGAAAATGGTGCCATGCTTTAGAACGCAGGCAGTTTGGCGGTTCCTCAAAGAGTTAAGCATAGAGTTACCATATAACCCAGCAACTCCACTCCCAGGCATACACTGAAGGGAAATAAAATATATTTCCATACAAAGACCTGTACATAGATGTTCCTATCAGCATTTGTTCATAATAGACCAAAGTGGAAGCAGCAACTGATGAAC